TTTTAATGTCAGTTGGCTGTACGTAAATAGAGCCTGCGAGGAACGCAGCGCACCCAGGGCTCCTGCTCCCACTACAACAGCACTGCTCCTTCAACACGCCGGAGTGCTTTCTGCGCCTTATGTAACTGCCAAAAATATCATTTCAATTGCTTTATGACAAAATAATGAGTCTGTCAAAGATGAGTGGTCAGAAAAACAAATTTGTTCTCCCACACAATTAGAGTTTATAGCGTTGGACAGCAATATCAATCTCCAGTGATTCAAAATTGAATTTGCACATTGGAGGGAAATGTGTTCTTGCGTGTGCTGTAACGAGGCTGCTTAGCAGGAAACGTCCTCGCAGGTTGAACTGGAAAGATGGATATCAGCTGAGCTGTGGAAACATCAGGATGGAAGTTTCCAAATGCAGACAAGTGTTGTGGGGACATGGCATTCGCTTTCACAAGCTCAGCACTGACAGACCTGCTCCCACAACGATCAACGCAAAAAAGTCTGGAAAAACTGTCACCAGCTATAACAGGCAGACAACTGTTCCCTTCAGGTAGAAAGAGCTGTTTCAAGGCCTGCATCTCCCCATACGTAACCTGATTGCTCATGGAGTTGTTGATATTCGTAAATCCACAGACTTCAGACATTCTTCGTAAAGCCATACAGAGCATCAGACCTCAGCAATGCCATTCATGGCGAGCATATGCTGTATCTCAGAACGGCACTTTGCCCTTAACATTTGCTTTATCCTTACATGGGATTGTGCCCTTAGGCTGTTTGCCAGTGCAGTGCAAAGGCTGCAGCATGTGCTCTACATTTGCCGTACCTTAACCAGTACTCTCAAACCTGCTCTGCTTACAGCTCCCTCAGTCACCCCTTCTCAGTACACACACAAACCCATCTGACGTGCCAAGCAGCTGCTACCCACCCCCTGCTACCCAGCAACTGCTTTTCTGGGCATGTGTACGTAATACCTTGTAACACACTTTGACTTTTTCTTTGGATTTCAAGGAACTATATAAGCATGAGATATTGTCATCTGGAACTCAGTACACAGGACATGAAAGTGGTTTTTTAGGCTTTCGGAACTTCTCCATTCTTACACATGCAGCCAAAGTGACCACATTCTTCTAATGGAAACATCTACAAGGGCTATACGAAATTTTATGTTTAATGCGCTTTGTAAGTAAATCTAATGAAGCCTTTTGTTACTATCTCAGATTTTAAGCAATAACAGCTAGGAACCACCTTTCAAAGCAAGCGTTTAAAGAAATTACAAATGGTACCTAGGATTTTCAGTAATAGTTTGTTGTCATGGATAGTAACATAAGGTAACAAAATATTTCCTTACCTCTGGAGCAGAAGAGAAAGGTAATCCTCCGTAAAAAAGAGATGAGACAGATGAAGGACTCTGACCTTGACAGTCTTCCATGGGAAGCTGATGTCCACATCCTGACAGTGATCTGCTTGGAGCTCGAGTCAGCTACCAGATCAGTGGTGCTCAGCTGATTCCCAGTTCTCTGCAATGCCTGAGGTCCAGACTCTGCTGCTTTGTTTTCACACTGCTCACAATCTGATATATCTCATCACAAGAGTGGTTCTCCCATGGTCCGTCTGGATGGTCCTTTTACCTAAATAGTCATCTTTCTGTAACCTTAAATATTTCAATTCTCCTTACTGCTTATCCCGCAAATAGAAGTAGCTTTTTATTGTACTCTAGTCGTCTCTCAGCCCTGCTATGCACATTTACCTCTGTCCCTCAGGCACAACAGGCATTTCTCTTCTCTGCAGAAGTCTCTGAGATTGTCCATACATACCCTCTGATGAGGTCCCTGGGACAGATTGCCCAGTTCCTAGTGCAGTCTTCCTAAAAAACCAGAAGTATACAAAATAGTATTTCCCTGTTTCAGTAAAACCGGCTCTCCACATACAGCGCAGAATTTGGTACTGGCTTGTTTTCCCCCAGACACGGTACCCTCCAACTTATATTCAGTTTGTTTTGCACAGATGCTTTTTTGTTACCTTTCAGTTTTAGCACTGTCTGCATTTTACACTCATTCAGTATTCAGCTACGTCCTTGATTTGCTGTGGAAATCATGATTAATCTCTCTGACATCTGTGAAGTCACCTCAGCAAAAAAATGGTGCAAGTGAGAGGAGAATCAAAGCCTCTGTGGTTCAATCCTCTGAATACCGTTTTTTCCTGCTTATGCTTCTGCTCTTTTACTCCCTATGTATAGTTACTGACACCAGCAAGAACTCCAGTTTAATCACTTCACATTTCATTAATCTACAGATTTTTTTGTACTTGTATAACACTAACGATCATAAACCAAATGCAGCTTTTTTGTTGCCTGTATGCTAAGAAGGCAAAGGTAATGTTTTTTGCCACACAGACTGACCTTTTGTGGTTTAAGTTTTCTTTTTTAACATTTCTTTTTGTGCCCGCTTTAACCAGCTCTCATTAACTCTACATTTGACATTTTTAATATAAATTTATTTTTTTACCTTGATCTTTGATCTTTAGCTAGCCTTGTAGAAAACCACAGCAACCGCATTTGTTCCTTACCTTCTTCTCCTTGGAAATTGTACACAGCTAAGTTTGAATTATTCTGAGGGGTTTTAGGATTATTCAGTATTGTCAGCTCTTTTTCTGCTCAGTTGTTAATGTTAGGTTTTGACTATCTGTTCTCTCCCCACAAAGGTTTTAGATCAGTCCTTTATTTTTTTCAGTGTTCAAATTTGTTGTTTTCTCTCTTTCACTTTAAATCATACTCCTAGAAGGCTACATCTCTCTCCCCATTGCTGGGTTTCTTTTTCTGGGGGGAGGGTTGGTTTTGGCATGGTTTTGGTTTTTAAGTGAGGGGAGTAAAAGTTTGCTCTCCTTTCTCTTACACGTGGTATTATTTGGAATTTTCCTGTAAAGCAGGATGCAGCATTCTGGGGGATTCTGCTGGGAAGGCTTTTAAAAATACATATAAAACATCCAAATAAATTAATTTGCAGAGAGGCATTGATTGAATGAACCTGTGATTATTCTACCAGTTTAGAGGAGGAAGAGCTATTTAGCAATTCCTCCATCTAGGAAGCTAAGCCACTAAGACGTCCCTATTGTCTGTTGGGTGTGTTTGTTCTGAATGCCCGTATGAGGGCTGATTGTTCTAAATCTCAGTTAACAGAGGTTTAGAATTTGACAGAAGGTCCTTAAATACTTCCACAAGAAAATGCGTTTAGCTGTTTTTGTGAAAACCTGTCCGTATCTGGTGTAAACATCAAGCTCCGAAATCTGTAGTTTTCCTTTATCTGTTGGAGCGTGGTGGCTAAAATCACAGAAGATGCCTTCTGCAGAAAGTCTGCCCGTTTCTGTACTGTGTGGGCAAGAAATTAAAAAACTGGGCACCAGAACAGGCAACAGAGCTATTCCATGCTGTCCAAGTTCTCTTGCCTGGGAAATAAGGAAAAGGAGGAGGCAACCTATGAAGAAGTGGATCACAGCGGATTTAGGGAATGTGGGAAATAAAAGGAAATCAATATGTATGAGAATTTATAGGAATTGTTTGTGTATGCATATGTACAGCCATGCATATAAATGTATGCATATATTTTGTATATATGTGAAGAGGCATGGGACAGGACTGGATAGAAGCAGGAGATGGAGAAGGCCAGAGTCCACCCAAGACTTTTAACCATGTAAGCAAAATGGAGGAAGGGTCAGTCTGTTTCTTCAGGTGCATATTACAAGTATGGCATCTAAGAATTTTGTCTAGCATATTCAATACATTTTGTTAATTTCAATTTAAAAGGTGCTGAACCTGGTTTTCTTTAGCATGAGCATTGCCCAGATAACAGCAGTTGCATCTGCCTCATTTCTAGCACTGAGGAGAATGCTCCACTACCTGCTGTATTACGGATGCTTGTGGATTTTCTCCAGCCGCCACTTATAACAACTGCAAGCTTGTTTTACCCTGGGGATATATATGTATGTGGCCAGTTGCTTCAGGTCATATTCCTTCCAAATGGAAGTCAGCTTGACAGCTGTTAATTTGCACTTGGCCATTCCATGTGTTGTTTTGCTCTAATTATTGGTCACTGTATGGAACAGGTGACAAATGCCCGCATGAGAACCCTTTAAATCACTGGATGTACAATCATTAGGAAAACAAACAGACAGGGTCGTTAAATACTGGTTTTTCTCTCCAGCCCCAGATGGAAACAGATTTTAGCCGGTTTTGACATCTGTTGGAAAGGGATGGAAAGAGGTGGCAATACCTTACTGTTTATGAAACTAGCTTCCCGTTCTGTAAGTGTCCTAGTTTCAGAGAAAGAGGGGAATTTAAGGACAATACAATTGTTCTAAGACCAGATGCGGAATTGGGTTTAACTAATGATTTTGTCACAAGGTTCGATTAGGTGTTCTTTCCTGAGTAAAACTAAATGTGCCTATCTGAACCTTCAGCTTCTATGACTATATCAAATTAAAGGAGGCAAAAAAATTTTCCTTTCCTGAACAAGAATGGCAAAACACCATTATAGTGAGTTTCCCTTCTGTTCAAGTGTGGCATTGCAGAGGATATTTAATTGAAGTCTTTTTTTGTCAGACTCCCAGGGCCTAATTTGGATCTTAATTTGGGCCAGACTCTCTAAGAACATAAGCAGAGGACTTGGTTTGTTCCTGGAAGTACTAACTCTTGAATTTTTGCAGGAGTATAAACCTGTCTGTAGTGAAAATTATGAATAATTTAGTTGATCTCAGTGGAGCTGCATTAGTGAAGACAAGAAAAGACTCAGCATCTTGGAGTCTTGGTGAAATCACTGCTTTTGGACCTGTGCAAGCTGAAGATAGCACAATATGCATTTGAGCGATGTCTTGTAAAGCATGCTAAAACAGTAATACAGGCACCACACGCAGAAACAGAGTGGTTGCCATAAGACATGCTTTACTAAGACTTAATCTGAACTTGAACTCACTTCTAAATAATATCCCTTTTTTTTATTTTTGCCTTTTAAAAACAGGTGTAAGTGCAACCTTCACGCTACGGGCTGTAAAGAAGAAAACAAAAGACTACTTTGTGAATGTGAGCATAACACAACTGGCCCAGACTGTGGAAAGTGCAAGAAGAATTACCAGGGCCGACCGTGGAGCCCTGGTTCTTATCTGCCTATACCTAAGGGCACTGCTAATATCTGTAAGTAGTTCTGTATAATAAGGATTTTTCATTATTAGGATTCTGCCCCGTATCGTGACTCTGAGGGAAGATTAATGCTGGCAAAAGTTTGTCGTTTCTTTACGGTCCAGTGCATATAATTGGACAAGACGTCAAATTGCAAGCGTAATTTTAAGTATACATCATCTGTGCTTTCACGTGCTTGTAAATAACTTGCATGAGAACTGCATGTTTGTATCCATGGATACTGACAGAAAGGGCTGGACATGGCACAGAAAGGGCTAAGGAATAAAAAAAATAGGACCCTTCATGTAAAAAGCACCCACAGAGGAGAGGAACAAGTGGGACTCTCCGCAGTACTGCTCCAGCCGTAGCGCCCTCAGCTCTCCAGTCATACATCCTTATTGCCGCGAGATCCAAACAGCCTCAGGTCAACCTGTGAGATGAGGTCGTTGCTCATTTTTTATCCATTTAAAAAAGTGTAAAAAAAATCTCAGATGAAATTTTTCCAGTTAATAACTGAAGATCTAAAGGTTGGTAAAGGAAGTTTTTACCTGATGTTGATCTGCAGTCCAGATTCATATGCAGTGGTTTAGGTCACTGTAAGCATTGAAGGGGGAAGCAAGGGCAAAACCTGAGGGGTTTTATCTGCTCATTTCCAGCTAACAGCCATTCAACAACACACATACTCACTATTCCAGCACACTTTCATATTATCCAAAGGAAGTTACTGACAGCTGCATTTCCTGGTCCTGGACAGGATTGGGTCAAAAAAACCCATAGTGCTGAAAGAGAGGGCACGAAGACAAGTACGAGTATCAGTTCTTCCTTTCATGCATGTATGAAATACACAATGATTCAGAATCCTCCTGAACTGAGTAACAAACTTAAATTCCTTTGAAGAAAGGATTGAAGAAGATGAGGATAAATCACCAAACCTTTTGACAGAAGTTACCAGCTTCTTTTAAGAAGAGTCACCAGTTATGCCCTGATTAAAAGGAAAACATTCATTGTAGAATATTAGAATATAACAATTTACTGAAAAGTTATGTGGGAGAAACAGAGCTATGTACTGCAGTTGAATGAAAAGTTTAAAACCAGGAGCAATGTGCAATGCTCAGAATGTTATCTAAGACTTCAAAGCAGCAGCTGTGAAGAATCAAAACTCAAAAATGAATATCATAGGAAGCAGGACCTTATCAAGTTAAATGTGAGAGTAATAGACCAAGTAACAAACCGTGAAGTGTGGGGGCATGAAATTATGATAAAATTCTTACTGAGCGGAAAAAAAATGAACTTCCAAAAAGCGGGCAAAAAACATTTTGTAAGAGTATTCACTTTTTCAAGTTATAAAAAGTGAGAGTGTGGCTCACAGAATTAATACTTTAAAGCTATGTCCAGAAAAAATGGTGAGATTTACCGGGTTGGTTTTATTTCTACATATTTTTTATATATATATGTACACACATACGTGTATGCACATATATACATTTTTATATATATAAAATGCAGTTGCTACCCCAGCAATCATCTAAACTACTGACAAGATACATCGGAACATGAAAACGGGGATCTTTCTAAATGCAGCTTTCTGTGTCAGTTCTCTCATTTCCAATCAGTTGAGCACACACCAGACGGAACAGTGGAATTAGCGCCCACCGAAAGGATGCCTGCAGCTTGTTAAAACAACTTTCATCATTATTGAATTCCACCAGATATACATTTCCATCAAAAACCAAAATGTTTTGCAAATAATAGGTAGTCTTTTCTGGGTTTTATTATTACTACTATTATTATGATAGCATCATGAAAACGTAACCTTGTTTGAGCTGACGAATGTTCCACTTACCCTCAAATTCTGACTTCAGCAGTGAGCAGTGGCAGGAATTTATGGCAAACAGGAAGAAGTATGAAGGATTTCATCTTTGCCTTCCCAGTTACCAGCAATAAACTGGCTTTTTGAGCTGGACCCTCCATCGTACCCACAGTGGTTGCTAGCTGCTGAGAGGAGATCTCAGTGACATCTTATGGCAATACATTTCACATTTTAATGACACAATAAGTGAAAGGTATTTCCGTTTGTTTGCTTCTATTGTTTTTGTATGGTTGAGCCTGTACCTCCTTAGATAGGAAGAAACAGAGAATGATGCATCCCTATTTACATCCCTCATACCATTTACGATTATATAGACTTGACGTGTCCACTCCTCCAATCTAAATGATGAATCTTAATCTATTTAATCTTATCATATATAAAACCATGGCACATCTCTGGTCATCTGTGCTTTCTTTCTCTCTTCTGGACCTATGATGTCATTTTTTCATTTGGTTAGGCTAAAACTACACGCGATATTCTAGACATGAGAACAACATGGATCTTTTACAGTGGCATAACAATGTGTCTGATTTATATTTTGTTATTACAGGGACCAGCCCTTGAGTCCTTTTTAAAGACTGTGCCACAGTTACAACATTTCTTCCGGCATCAAGGCTGACATAAGTGACAGGTTATACGTTATGGCAGTTAGTTCAGAAATGTCATATTTGAGTTCCTTTAAAACACTTTTTGGATGAACATCACCTTATGGCAATTTGTATTGTTAGACATTATTTACATCTAAAACACCTTTAGATGATGAGAGACATTGAGAAAGTTCCTCAGATTGTGAGAATCTCTCTAACCTTCTTTGTTGTGAACATCAGTGAAAACAATTAATTTGGTATTCGGTACTTTTATACCTTGATTGCCTATCTACCCAAACATCTCTCTGGGAGGCCTCCTGCTTCTAGTGTGATTATTTTAACAAGAAAGAATTATTAACTTTTATGTCTGCAGCAAGTTTATTCTCAGAATACTGTGGTTTATATTTAACTTGATAAATTTTATGCTTTTTTTCCCATTGAATCTTTCTCCATTGAGATGACTTACACTTTTGAAGGGTATCTTTCCAAAATCATCTTCATTCTGCTGTTTTGGGTTGGGTGTTGAGGGGTTTTTTTTGTTTATGAGAGAGTTGCTTTTTATAATTTTTCTATAAAATTGATGGGTTATATGTGATTATTCTGACTCCCATACACTTTATCTCTAGCCTGCCTCCATGCTGTTTGCATTAAATCTTTTTTAGCTGTTCTTTTAATTTTTCTTTTAATGAACTTTCTCATTTTTATCTGCTCACTCTCTGAAAGTTAAATAGGACTTCAGTGGATTTTTTTTTTTTTAATCCTTTTCCTACTCAACAAGTATGTTGACTTTCAGTCCAGAAGTGGTTCTCTGATAACTACTTCTTCAATCAGGTCCTATGTACTACTCAGAATTAAATCAGCTTCTCTTGTTGTGGGTTGCTGATTACTTGCTACAAACAGCAATCATTTATGGTATGTAAAAGCTTCATTTCTTTTGTCACTTCCTGATTTAATGCCGCATGTGTCGGAGCACATTAAATTTTGCATTATTGTGTAAACTCTGCACAGCCAATGTAATTTCACTTACCTTATTGCATTTATGTCACCATCTCCATGGTGTGGTCAGTAATGCAGCCCTAGCATCATACTCTCCCTAGTCAGGCATGAATTCTGTAAACAGTTTCTGGAACATGTTAATAGAATTAACTTCTCTGGTTTGACCCTAAACTTCCCTTAATATTTTACTTTAATTCCCTGTGGACACTTGATATAATCCACTAATACAGTGTCCCGTTGATACTCTTCCTTCCTCCACTTTCTGGAGTCTGTCTTTTCCATCTAAGACCAAAATATTTTAAATTTTAAATGGATTTGAGTTTTTTTTAACATGAGTGTGTTTAAATAAGGTGTACAGCTAAAAATAGTTGTATAAACGCAACACTCAGAAATTTTTTTCACTAAATAAAAAGATCCTTTTTCTTGAGATTCTCTGAATTTGGGAAATTTGCTCAGATTCAACAAAAAGCCTAATGTCCGTTTCCAAATCTTTCCCAACTGGAAATTCTGTTGTTTCCACTGTTCTGCTTCTGCCATTTTTCTGTGACCAATAAGACTTTATTATACCTTCTTAAACTACAGCTCATGAAATACAAGACCATTCTAAAATACACTCCAGTCATAACCTAAACCTTGATATAAAGCTGTTTTCTTCTCATTTCAAGTCAACATGAGTTCTTCAGGAGAGTGCAAAACATTTTTTTCCCTCATTTGCTTGTGAAAGACACCAAGTGCTCTGTTGTTTACTGGCACTAACAATATTTCCACATTTGTCTCCCGCATAGCATTTATTTTATATTTTCACTCTATTTTATTGACTATTTTGTGATTACATTTATTCCCTTGTGCTGCCACATTCCATGGATAGTTTGTTCTGCAATATGTTTTGACACTCAAAGTGAACTTATTGAATTTCTCTACACTTGGTATTACAAGACAGCTTTTCTCCTCAGCAGTTGTTTGTGTCTGACAGCACTAGCCCTTTTCTTCCTCCCGTTCTTTAGATCATCTTTGGCACTTATGTTCTTTGCTCCATCAGACAGAGCTGTCTAAGACTGTGCTGGGCTCCCATCCATCAAAGCCTGCTCGCTTTTTGTCAGTCCCTCCGCAACCAATAACCTGTACCAGAAGTGCTTGACACTCGCTGAAAACTGCCTCCCAGCTCTTACATGACTTCCTTAATTCGCAGTTCAGCGTGAAACAAAGGATTGACCAGAACGCAGGGAACATTGGTGGTTCTTTTCGATCAACAGTTAGGCAGATAGTCTCAATCAGTTTATCGAATTTCTCCTGCCGTGGATCCCCCTCTGATAGAGCAGCCCCTGTCTCAGCAGCACGGCCTTAATCCTCCCTGAATGGGAAAAGACTTACGAGGCACCACTGCAGCACAGCTGCCACAGAAACAGTTTCTGGCAAAAAATATGGCACTTGAAGTATTGCACTGATTACCCTCATCTGTGTTTGTAGTTGTCTCCATGAATATTTGCTGACACAAAACCATCTTGAAGGACCAGGGTAAATGAAGTTGGCCAAGAGGTGGTGTGATGGCAGGCTTTCTATTC